CTTCCTTCTTTCTTTCCTTCCTTCCTTTCCTCCCTCCCTCTTCTCTCTTTCCTTTCTTCCTCCTTCTTTCCTAACTTCTTTCCTTCCCTTGGATCATTTGCTTATTTCTTTTTATCTGTGTTTAATAACTGTAAACAAATTATTTGTGGTTCAGACACACTGTGCTAGGTTACCTTTTATAAGTGGCAGAATTTTTTCCCTTCTCCAAAGTAAAAGAGTTTCATACCCACAGACTAAAGAAATTATGAGCACCTAACAAGAACACACTTTGGATACTCATTTTGTACTAATAATGCATTTATATATGTTCCCACTTAGGAACTAGAAATATTTAATCCTCACAACACCTATAGAGAATCTGGGTCTATTTAGCTGTGTCCTCCATTGGCATCATCTCAATTTTGGACAGCCTATTTACTTAAAATTAAGTTTGCTATGCAGAGCATCATGGGTATTTTGCCTGCACTGTTGCACATGTCCATTACAAAACCATTATTTTCAAGCTGCTATAAAAATTGTTAATTTAACTGACTATCTTATAATTAAGGTTTCAACAAAGTGCTGGTGGCATTTATTAGCTGAAAAAGACTGGGTTACAGGTGTACTTAATGCATAGCATATTTGATTTCTCATCCTATTCTGAAAACACTTAACAAGATATCATGATTAGCAAGTAGAAAGATAATAAGTCTTAAACTAAGGTGGCAGAGGGACTATAAACTAAGACATTAGGTAGATTTGGTTAGTTATTATGACTCTGCTCTGGTCTTTTTATGTGGTCAGGCCTCTGAAGATTTCTTGTTATTTAAATTTTAATGTTTTTAAAATGGCATAGAAATGATATAATTACAACTCAATTATCCACTTTTAAGGCACATTCCAGGTAATTTCTTTTTCTCTAAAACAAAATGAGTAAATTTTGTTGTGCTTATAAACCTAGCAACAAGGACAAGCTCCTTTACTTCTCAGTTACACTGTCTTGGGAAAGCGCAAAAAATAAAGGAGCATTTCCCTATTAAATGGTGGCAACTAGGAGGCTTGCCCTTGCTTTTCCAGAAGCTGGCTGGGCAGGCTAAGTGAGAAGAGGTGGAGGCACACAGGCCTTCTACCATTCCTGACCCCCCACACTCCCTCTTCCTGAAGTTCACTAGGGGTGGCCCCACCTCAGAGCCTGGCACTGTCTATGGTGCACATCCTGGATCCTTAGGGAGCTTGCTTCTTCCATCCTTCAGCTAGCTTTCTCAATATCACCCTGCTCAGTGAACTTGCCCTGAGCACACATCCCAAAACTGCAGTCTCTTCCCCCTCTTCCTCCTCCCTCTTGATTTCTTCACAGTACTTCTAAATAGCTAAAATATTACAAATGATATTACTATTATGTTATTATTACTGGTTGTTTCCTATCCCCAGTAGAGTGTTAATTTTATGACACCACTAATATTTTGTTTATTCAATGCTTTATCTCTCAGTGTCTGTTAGACACTATACTTGGCACAGAGATAGAGGCTTAGTAAATGCTTGTTGTTGAATGAATGAAAGGAAATGATGGTACTGGCACTGGACACACTAGGAGGACTGGGCTCCTGAGACCTTATGCATACTCAAGTACTTTGTGCCAGAAAAAAAGGATCTGCATACCTATCCAGACACAGGGCAAACTCTCAGGAGAGGGAGAAAGGATTTTCTGTAGGTAAAAAGAAATCTTATCCACAAAACAATGGTGTCCTCTCTACAGAATAAAGAACACAATGATCAAGGTAATTCATTACCTGTGACATTACCAATCACAGAGAAACCTGAGTTTTATAGCCTGAGAACCACATGATAGCCTACCTCACCAGGGTTGGAAGAGATACCAAATTTTCAAGCTGAGGAAACAACGAGTCTCAACTCTGTAATGTTCGCCCAGTAGGTGTTGATTCTAAATCCCAGGGCTGTTGCAGATACAGTGACTAGGAAAGCAAGTCAGTCATCACAAGAAATAGAAGCCATGGGTCAAATGTCACTGACTAATCAACCTGTCATTGGCCAATTACCCATCTCCATGAAGAAGTGCCACTGATCTAGTTTCATATCAATAAATGTCTATCTGGGCATATCAGCTGCTGCTAACTGCAGCCTGCCAAGATATCCAGCATTGTCCACAGGCATTGGTGGCTAGGAAATCTCTCTCTCTTTTCTCTTAATAATGTCACAGAAGAGGCAAATGCAGTTCCTGACAACATAATGTTAGTTTCACCAAGACGTGTCTCTTTGAACGCTCAGCTAGTTATACAGAGCTTCAGTTGCATGGATTTTTTTTTTTTTTACTGAAAAAACAATAGTTGGGCTTAAAGAAGTTGGATGCTTCATACTGTGTTGTGATACACAGTTCTGCCTTTAGTTGTGTGCCTGCTCACCATCTTACCACCCCACCAAGTAAGGAAAGCAAATTTGTTTGGGGGGAACCATTTTCATTCCACATTTAAAGAAAAGCAAGTGGGCCCATTCTCTCTTGCTTAAAACCCTAATGACATACTTTCCTGGAGTCAGATTCAACATCTGAGATTCTTCAGTGATACTAAAAGCCAAGATGGCTTTGTGTATTTTCTGTTTGAGTTGTCACCCCAGTAATGACTTCATGAGGTCCCTGCTGGATCTGAAACTATAGATTTCCTACTAAACCTGTTATATTTCCCCCTTCTGTCTTGGCAGTCAACGACACTGGAACATTCAACCAGTCATGAAAAGCTTATTCAGTTGCCATAGACTTTATTATATACCAGCTGATGCTGGGTGGGGTCAGTAAGTAAACTATTATAAATAACTGCTGTGACCACAGTTCTAATACAGAATGTGTGTGTGGCTGAAGGGGCTGTCTCATTATGCCCAGAAAATGATGTCAGGCTAGAGAAGTATTCCCAAAGAGTAAAATCTGGACAGTAGAATAGAAACATTCTAGTAAAAAGTGGGGTGGGGTAGGGGAGAGGGAAACACAAACAAGAATGTAATGAGTATGCAAGCAGTGAGAACAGCACGATGAGATTTGAAGGGCCGTGGACAAGAGGTAAGATCCACAGGAAAGAGGAATCACACTGGTGTGGGAAGGAGGAAGATAATAAAACCTACATAAGCCATCCTGGTTGAACCCTCTTAGATTGGGAAAAAGCGGGCCTAGAGTACCAGGTAAGTGAATGGAATGCAAAGAACATTAAAAGAGAGTTGGTAGAGCTACTAAGCTGCCTGCTTGCTTCAATCCTCATTGGCAAGAAGACTGGTCTTCAAATTAGAAATGGCAGAACAAACATAATAAAGAGAAAATTGAAGTCTCAAATAGGTGAAGTGAAAGAGAGTATCTAGTCAATTTAAATGATTTCAAGTCTCCTGGCTCAGATGAGTTACACCCCAAGCCTGCTGAAAGAAATTGCAGATGTAATCTCAGAGACACGATTGGTAATCTTGAAGAAATTGTAGAGACCATAAAAGTGCTGGAAGACAAAGGAAGGACAACTGTTTTCCAGTTTTGCTTTGTTTTTTTAAGTGAAGAGGGATAAACTATACTGGGAATACATTTCACATCCCTGACAAAATTCTAGAATAGCCCACTAAATAGATGAATTGATGAGTACTTTAGTTAATGCATGCAACTAAATAACAGGAAGGAGGGTGTTTGTGGTTTAAAAAAAGTGTATTTGTACCAGTAGCTTGTTGAGATTGTATATGGCTGGTTGTTTCCCTCTGAGTTTAATCCAACCTTCAGTCTGAACTCCATGTTGCTAACGCTCTGACTTGTTGCCTGTGGTACTCAGCTTGTGAGGTGGCCCTTCAGAAAAAGGGGATCACAATTTAAAGATATCTAGCAGTCTGAAGTCACCAAAAAAAAAATGGACTGTCTACTCCTCAGGTGTCTGCAGAAATAAGCAGTTAATCTCTGTGATTATTAGCTTGAACAGCAACAAACCTGTGCCCATTAGACTCCTATTGTCTGACTTTTTTGTGTTCTCTCTTTCAGGTGAAAACAGGAAAGACTAAAATGCAGTAGCGCACAATGGGGAAAGCAGTCATGTACTGTTAACACATCTATGCCAGGCAGACTAAAGAAGATGGACAGATAGACATGATTTACATGAGCCCTTCAACAGGCCCCCTTTGAAGATCTTTAGGAGTTACAGGGAAGAAAAAGGAAGGAGAAAAGAAGGGAGGGAAAGGGAAAGAAAATAATAATCTAAGACCCAAAGGGCTCTAGTGAACTAAGCATACACTCTTTGAGAGTATCACCAGACTCACACTTCAAAATTATATAATCCACTAGTAGGCAGTGCCAGCTAAGGGGTGCTACAACTGTAATCTGTGCTATTCAGGAGGATGAGACCTAGAGGACTGAGGTTCCAAGCTAGCCTCACTGGAAGTCTAAGAGACTCCATCTTCAATTAACTAGCAAAAAATTAGACTGGAAGGATGGCTCAAGCAGTAGAATGCCAGCTGTGAGCATGCAAATTGAGTTGATGCAAGGCCCAGAGTTCAAGCCCCCATACCAGCAAAAATGTAAAAATAAAAAACAAATTGTATAATCCTATAAATCAAGTAGAGTTAGAAGTTTCTTAAAAGAAATGAACAATAATCAATAAAACAAATACAAAAGTCATGCATATTTGGGTCATCTGAATTTTATAAATGTATTTATTAAAGTTGAAAATGATTTTTTTCATCCATATAACCTCTCTTGACATTTTTCATAACCAAGTTGAACCAAAAAAAGGCCTCTTTACTAGTCCCCAGAAGTTGAATTAGGGGCTAGAGTTGTGGCTCAAGTCCAGTAAGGAAGCAAGTAAGCTGAGACCCTAAGTTCAAACTTCAGTATCAAAAAAAAAGAAAAAAAAGTTGAATTTTGGTGTCTTTTACTAACAAAGAAAAACATTTAGTATCTCTTTGCTTGTCCTCTTAAACATTATTTTGCCAAAATAGCATTTTTCACATGCATTAAAAAAAAATTTTAACTAGTGAACGCAAAGAAATCTTACCGTATTGACCCAATCATGTATGGCTGTGCCAGCTGAACAACAATTGCACCGCTCCCTAGCTGGTGACACGTGTAGCCAGAGTCCCAATCATAATTCTTAGTGTCCCCATTCAGCAAGGCATTTCGGCTCCGACTGACTCCTTCAATCACACTGGCACAATCAGCAATTGTTGCAACATTCTCCATGGGAACTGTGAATCCAAACACAATATTTGGCATCAGGATGTGAAGTACATATATCCCAACAGCATGCTCAGAATAAAATTAATTACCATCTCAAACCAATAATAAAATGCAAATTATAACATCTTGCTTAAGAGCCAAATAATTTTTTTAGGTTGAACCTAAGGTTGGAATAAACAAAACCATGTGTAGCAATTAGTCCTAAAGTATTTTATTACAAAGAAACACGATAACCTAGAAAATACAGAGACTATACGTTGTAGAATATAACTGAAACAAGAAACTACTAAACAAGAGAGAGAGAGAGAGAGAGAGAGAGAGAGAGAGTGTGGTGCTGAAGATCAATCTAGGGCCCCCCACATACTAAAGCACAAGCTCTGTTGTTGAGCTAAACCCCTGGCCCAGCTACTGAAATTAATGAGCTTCAGATATAATATCATATATATATATAGAGAGAGAGAGAGAGAGAGAGAGAGAGAGAAAGAGAGAGAATAGAAAATTTGTAAGTTCAAAATTTTATAATACATAAAGTGATCCAGGACATCGTATTAATTCCTTTTTAGAATATACAATTGGTCTCAGTAAATCCATTTCCTTCTTTTGTTTACTATTCTGTGCACTGAGACACATATGTTCGTTCTTGCCTTTGTTCATGAACTGCTGTATCTTGGAAAAACAGCTGTGTTTTGATTCTTACTCTCTTTCTCTCTCTCTCTTTCCACTTCAAGTTCCTATCAACCTGCTCATTTATAAAAAGTCAAGAGCTCCCACAAAACGATGGCTGCTCAATGTGATGGGATTCTCTAAACACTGAGAAGGGATAATAAAAGATAAGAGCATTTTAAGTCCCACCGGCCTTCTCTATATGTTTATGCTATTCAGCCAAAAATCTATATTTTCTTTAGACATATAGCCTATTTCACCAAAAGCTACAACATTAACCTGCTCTACTTTTTAGTATGTTAGAATTTCTGAAAAGATGGTAAGCAATAATACCTCCAAGCCCAAACCCTTGTAACTTTATAATGATGTGAAGTAGTGATTCTGCAGCTATCTTCTAAGCAATACACTTATTTTCCAAAGTTGGACATGCTTGTATTTTAAGCCTTCATCTGACATCCTTCACTAATTGATTTGCTCTCTATACATGAGTAAGGTCATCCACAAATAAAGAAGTAAGAGAGAGAAGAGGGGAAAGGGGGAGAAATGGGTTTTCCCGTGATGAATCCCTTGACTATTAAGCTTAATTCCAAAGCAGCAAACAAAATAGTGATAAAATTGTCTTTAAGAACAGTTTCCTAACAGAAATGGGGCTCAGAGAGGTTTCTGATGACTTTGAAACAAAACAGAGGTGAATAACTAACTTTAGAGGGTAAGTCTTGGTATCTTTATCTCCTAGAAAGGAGCCAGTATCTTTATCTCCTAGAAAGGAGCCAGTATTCTATAATTTGGAAGAGAGGGAATAAGATACACAGTAAATTGAACTAAGATAGTAAACAATACTCTAGGTAAGTTATGCTGCAGGAACATAGAGCTCCTAGCCCTTCAGTGGCTCAATGTAACATATATTTATTTTCCAGTCTCATTTTGTATTCAATTATCCAGGTGGCTCTGCTCATTTCATCACTCAGGGATCCTAGTGACGAGAGGATTCATACTGACCTTTCCTCAATCACAGCAGCAGTAGAAAGAGAATGAACAGAGCACTAGCTCTGAAAGTATTTCTCCTTAAAAGTAACATACATCATATTGCTGACAATTTCATTGGCCAAGCCCAGTCACATGGCCTGCCTAACCTCCAAGGATTAAGTAGGGAGAAAAAGTAATCCAGCCCAGGATGAAAAAAAAATGTGTGTTAGAGAAATGATAGTTACGCCTATCACAGATATTAAACCAGGATGAAGAAACATTCAGTAGACAATAAAGCTATAATTTGTTTAAATTATACAAGGTATATTTTAATGTGTGAGTATTCCAAAATAACTATCTGTTCTGTTGAGGGACACTGAGATCATCACTACTGTTTTCTTGGCAAACAAATGTCCTCTGGGTTTTTGGGTAAGAGTTTCTTAAAGGAATATGTAGTATATATCTATATATCTATATATGATATCTATTTATGATATATCTATTTATGATATACCTATATATAATAAATGTCAGTACAAAGATACACACAGAAGCTGAATTATACATACCGGTGGTTGGACACAGTGATATGGATATATTACATTCAGGTTCTCTAGGTCTTAATAAATTGTTCACCAAAGTCATCATTTTAAAAAAAAGCATACTCTTGACTTATTGCTCCACATTGTCACCAACTCTTGGTAAAGTCAGACTAGTAAGTATGAAATGATGCATCAATGCGTTTGTAGTTTTTCACTTTTTGTCAGAGAAATTTGAACATTTTTTCTCTTATTTGCCATCTCTTCAGTAAACTGCCTATTTTTATCTTTTGTCTATTTTCCAGTTAATTTTCTAACTGAATTATAAAATACCAAGCTTTTGGAGGTCAATATAATTGAGTTGAAATATTTAATATTTGCCTTTATGATTTCCTTTCTTTCACAAATTAATACTTGCCTATATTTTCTCCTTAAAGTTTCCAGATTTTTATTTTTTTGGTGTCAGTCCTACAGCTTGAACTCAGTGCCTGGATGCTGTCCCTGAGCCTCTTTGTGCTCAAGGTTAGCACTCTAACCACTTGAGCCATCGAGTTACTTCTGGCTTTTTCTAAGTAGTTTATTGGAGCTAGTCTCATAGACTTTTCTGCCCAGGCTAGCTTCAAACCATGATCCTCAGATCTCAGACTCCAGAGTAGCTAGTATTATAGACATGAGCCACCAGCACCCAGCCAGATTTTTCAGTCGTGGGGCCTGAACTTGGCCTGGGAGCTGTCTGTCAGCTCTTCAGCTAAAGTCTAGCACTCTGCCACTTGAGCCACAGAGCCCTTCCAGCTTTTTCTGCTTATGTGGTGCTGAGGAATCAAACCCAGGGCCTCATGTATACAAGGTAAACACTGTACCATTGAGGCATCTTCCCAGTCCCCAGATTTTTCTTTTCATGTTTAGTTCTCTAATCTACTTAGAATTTATCTTTGAATACTGTGAGATGGGTATAATCTTCATCTTATATTCAGAAGAATGGGCAGTTTCCCAAGTGTCATTTAATAAATAGTTCACACTCCTCTTATTAACCTGTTACTTTTAATCACATGTGAAATTCCTTTATATATTTGCATCTGTTTATAAGATCTATTCTGTTTTATGAGTACCTTGCCTACAAGTTACTATAGTTTTATAGTAATCTTAAAATCTCCTAAGGTTAGTGCCTCTCCTTTCCACCTTTCTTTTCTTTTCTTTTCGGTCAGTTATGGGGCCTGAACTCTGGGCCTGGACACTGTCCCTCAGCTCTTCAGCTCAAGGCTAGCGTTCTACCACTTGAGCCACAGTGCCACTTCTGGCTTTTTCTGCTTATGTGGTGCTGAGGAATCGAACCTCATGCATGCAAGACCAGCACTCTACCACTGAGCCACCTAACCAGCCCTCTTTTCTTCTTTTTCTTCAAAAATTTCTTAGATATTCTTGGTCTTTTCAGGAAAAAAATGCACACATTAAGTTTTCAAATATATTGGCATTAAATATGTTCTATAAGATATTACTTCAGAGGATTTGAGATTTGCTTTGTGGCCTCCTACTTGCTTAATTCTGGTTAACATTGCATGTGTGCCAGAAAAGAATGTGTGTTCTCTGATTTGAGGTCTGCATGGTTCTATATATGTTCTGTCAATTAAAAAAAATTTTTTTTTGGTCAGTCGTGGGGCTTGAACTCTGGGCCTGGGCACTGTCCCTCAGCTCTTCAGCTCAAGGCTAGAGCTCTACCACTTGAGCCACAGTGCTACTTCCAGCTTTTTCTGTTTATGTGGTGCTACGGAATTGAACCCAGGGCCTCATGCATAAAAGGCAAGCACTCTACCACTGAGCCACCTGCCCATGTTGTTTCACTTTTGCCATCTAAGTTTTATTTTCTGGTGGGCTGAATCTTTCATTGTTATACACTGGCGTTCTTTATTTCCAATAATACCTTTGCTCCAACGTCTACATTATCGGGATGCTAAATCACTATAGCACCTATACCTTTGTTACTATTTTCTTAGAACCACTTTCTTTTTTCTTGACTCTTATAAATAACATACAATTGCTTAAAAATATCCAGTCTCCTTTGTCTTTTCACTGGAAGGTTTATATGGCTTACATAAATTGTTGTTACTAATATATTTGGATAGTTTTACTTTTTATTAAAAAGTTTCTTCTTTGCTTCCCTTAGCTTTCTGTTCACTTTGTTCCCATTTTCTAGCAAATTTATAGTTTCTGTTGGGCATAGTGGTGCATTCTTAGCACTCAAGATAAGGCAAAGAAAGGCTATATACTGTCTTTTAAAAAAAGTTTTCTTTATTTCCCCCATGAGTTATTGCTACTGATTGGTTTAGATGTCATATATCTCATTTCTTCTCATTATTCTTAAACTTTGGACAACCATCTCAGACTTAACAATGCCTAAAGTTAAAAATTACATAGTATCTTCTAATGACAGCAACACTTTTTTAATATCAATCAATTCCCAGCTTGTCACTGTGATCTAAAATTTTAGTTCTACTTTGTTATATATTCCCCATCCAGCTATTACTTCATACAGTTTAAGACTTATTTACCTACATTTACCAATTTGTTTACTATTGCTTGTGTTTTGATATAAGGTCTCACTACACAGCCCAGGCTGGTCTCAAATGCTCCATCTATCTCTGCCTCAGTCTCCTGAGGCTTGAACAGGCACTCAAATTCCATTTTTATAGCCTTTTTATAAAAGGGAATATTAAAAAGGATACTCTCAGTATCTAACATTTTCTCTAAGCAATTTTGCTTGATAATATACTCTTGACCCTCTAGAATCTTAATGTAGTCTAATATACATGTTACATCAATGACTTTTGCTTTCTTAACAAGGA